TTACCTCGCGCAAGATGCTAGGTGGCCCCCTGCGAGGTGGAAGATGAAGAACCGTTTTATGTCTCTGTAGAAATACGGAATTCAGTCGGATATTCCCAAAAAACGGTCGCTATCGGTGACTAATTGTCAGACGAGCCGTCCGACGGGTCGCATCATGGAAGCAGAAAAATCCCCATAGATTCTCGAATTCTCTCGAGAATTCAATCGGACAAATGAGTGCGAAAGTCTCTCAAAAGAGAAGTCTTCCGCAAGATACGGTATGTTTGCCTGATGCTTATAGCGTCGTCGGCGTAAGAAAATCGCGACTCGTAGGGTGCCGCCAAACCGGCCCCTTTGTGCCATCGTTTGCCCAACACAAATGGCGCGAAAGCCGAATGAGCCATGCCGCGATTCCTGGCAGGAATTCCTACCCGGAAGGGACTCATCAGGGCCTCTCTCTGCTTCGGATGTCCTTCTCGGCTGTGTGCCCTTAGCCCCTCATTGGAGGCTTTGATCTGTCGGATGATCGCCAGCTCTTTGAGCCGTTTGATGACAATGGATGCGCGGTTAAGAGTCCTGAACCGTGCGCTTCCCGAAGCCGGAAGGTCTCAGGCGCAGCCCCTGCTGGCGCTCGGCGGGTCGGGAATACTGGGTGCCATCCGAATCGCGGCAGTGACCTCCTCGATGCACTGGAATGCTAATCCTAACTAGCCGAAATGAAGAACCAAGAGGCTACCCGGGCCGAAAATCTTCTTTCACAGATTGAACTCTGGTTCTGCATAACTCCGAATTGGCAAGCGAGATTGCGTAGGAGATATTCCTTCACGAGAATGAGAGAAAGGATCAGATTTCTATCGAAAATGATGACACTAAGCAGAAGTTCAAGTGAAATGATCTTGCAATATTCGTGAGTAAGATCTGGGGACATTGAACACGCGCTTCCCTGACTTCACTGATGTCTTCCGAATGTCATTATTGGCCGTCTCCCGCCGTCACAAGAAGTGTAGTAAACATACTTCTCGGCCCGCGTGATTCGTTCTCTGAGTGAGCCATGTCAATTCCCCGCAGTCGTCTGGATTACCTGAAATGGAGCGGCAGGTCATTGGAAGAGTTGCATGCCACTGTTGGGCGTCGGAAACTATCACGGATCTGCACGGTATCCGAATTGATCGAGCGAAGTTCCCCCCACCATCGAGATTCACAGCGGGGCGGTAAATCGTCGACGTGAGATCCTGCGGAAAATATTGGATGTGATTTCCTTCAAGACCGAGGAACTCCAGCTGCGGCACTCTTGCCCAGAAATCAGGGTTGGTTGTCCTCTCCACTCTTGTCGAAATTAACTTACTCGACGTTGATTTTGAGCGAGCTTGGCAAGTTGTTCAATTCCGTCGTTCGCAGATCAGTACGGGATACTGTTAGTGACTTCAAGTTCTCCATGCCCCGGAAATCGGCTCTGCGTGAAAGTCATCCCGAGAATTTATTGGTTTCGAATTCGACAAGGCATTCCCTCAGAGCTCACGTGAGGTTCAAGCGCTTCTCCCGAAGCTCGAGAGCACCTCTGCCGCCCAACCGAAGAGACCGGAGTCAGGTCCACGACTCGAGAAAAACACGATAGACTATCGACAACTTGCACGGTCCTTCATGCGGCGAAACACTCGAGACAGAGACTCCGTGCTGCTCTAGTGGATAATCCCTCAAGCTCCGCACCGGCGGTCCCCAATACTCGAAGTCTGAACCAAAGTGGAACCTTCCTCGGTTTTGATGGAGAAGGACCTGAAGGAACCCTTAAAGGTAGAGCTCCGATGAGTCAAATGATGAAAACCGAGATATCACACGTACCTTCGAAGACAGCCTCACCGATTGTAAATTGCTTAATCGATGGATGCTCGGATGCTTTCCAAGCCCACTGAGTCCACTCTGATCTGAGATGTAGATCTTCGGAACGCTCGTTCTGATCGCGAATAGAAATGGACAGATTTTTGAAAATAACCCCAAACACGGCAATAGGTGTTATAAATCATTTTCTTTGTGACTCAGAGATCGCTGTGGGGGACGATGGCGTACAGGAAGATAGCCAGCCTCGATATGAATGCCGGAGCTTCCAGAGTCACCTCTTTGAGAAAAAAAATACGAATCGGCATTCGGGGGGCGCGCCCTAGTAGGCGACGCGGTTCAGGATGAGAGATGATATTCCCATGTCGCAGAGAGCGGAGAAAGGATTATCCCTCTCCGGCGTCGAGTTCTGCGAATTCGAGAGCTAGAATTAACAGACTCGGATTCAGATCTCGAAGATTCAAATGCCTCCACGGAAGGGAAAACTCACATTCATATCGTGGTGAAAATCTTCCCATTCTAGATGGCCGCCGAGCTCTATATCCTAGCAAGGTTCGTGGCGGCTTAGTCGATGGAATCAAGTGAACGCAACAAATTGCCATTCATCGGTGCAGTAATTATCTTAACGAATAGCATCTCGTTTGTCTCCTATCAGGTGCATGGTAAGCCTTCCACCTCTGACTCTCGGGTTGACTTTGGTCATAAACTTCAGCTCAGAGGAGCCATCGTCCTATCATTGTGTGTCAAACTCACAATATAACCGAAATCCGGGAATGCTTCGGCGAAGACGCGAAGCGTGTCCGAATTCTACTCGTCCGTATCACAGGTTATGTACTGAGCGATGAGCGTGGGTGAACGGCAGAAACACTTGAAGTTCTGCATAGCGTCTCCGAACTGACACGCTCCTCCTTCTCTCGCAGAGCTGATCGTCACAAAGGAAACTAGGAGGAGGGCTAAGCGTCTCCTCAGACAGATTGCTCGAACCTTAACATAGTGACTGTCAAATTGCAAACATTATTCACAAGAAACGCCCCCGATACCCACTCGATTAGGCTTCAGTCCAGAAGGGAAACTATTCGGCTCCGTCCCATATTGCTCAAGACGCGGTCGGCCCGGCGCACAGTGGGGCCGAATCGAATTTTAGGTGGACAAACGTCCATGGAAACCGATCCCGGAATTTTGATCGGTTATGGGTTTGAAAATGTTTGTAAGACTCTGAAAGTCGCGGGGGAACGTCTTCCCAGCAAGTCCAGAACCGGCTGACTTGACCGGAATCATGTGGGAATGCGAGATCAGGACGGGAACTGAGCGCAGAAAATATTTTCCCGAAATGCGAGGGCACGAAGTATGCTCATTTCCGAGCATCACCGATTGGGGGGAGAAATTCATGAGAATTGTCGTAAAAAAAAATACAATTTTATTCTCGCAGGTGCCGGGGCGGCTGGGGGATGCGGAAAATGCGGTAATCATGGTTACCCCGCGACTTTCAGAGTCTTACGAACATTTTCAAACCCATAACCGATCGAAATTCCGGCATCGATTTCCATGGACTTTTGTCCACCTAAAATTCGATTTGGCCCCACTGTGCGTCGGCTTATTTCGGGTCGCAGATTTTAGACTCTCGGTCTCTTCCCTAGAGGGATCATCACTCGCAGGTAATCAAATGTCTGTAACTTTCCTAGCGAGTCAAATGAACATATCGAGTTCATTTGTCCAGGAATCCCGGGGTTCACGATTCGCAGCTTATGAAATTCTGAATCGCACAGAATATCGCGTGTCATGGCCAGGAATGCTCTAACGTCAAACTTGACCATGAGGACCCCAGGGAAGAGACTTTATCCGAGCCTGCTCAGAACTCCGGTGCTCGGTTTGAATGATAAGATAACTGCGGGTACAGACTCGTGGCGGGAAAGGAAATTCACCTACATTACTCCCGAGGTCACTAAATTTATCGAGGGACATTGTATCAGCGATGGATCGAATCACGTTGCCAACGGCGTGCGAGCATCTCATGCAGCGGTTATGACACCGCCGAGCGATTCCGCGGCTCACTAATTGAATTTGGGCCCGGGCGCCGGCTAGCTCAATGTTCGGGGTGTCATCAACGTTGTGCGACTGCACAAATGCAATACTTTTTTAAAACTCATCAATCTGGACTGTCTTTAGTCGGTGATCTCTTGGGGACTCGATTGGAGACAGCTGCAACCCATACTGGGTGCCCGTTTCTCCGCGGAGAAGCTTTTTGACTCATATTCTGCTCTATCCTCTGAGCTTTGAATCTCTGAACTCTGGGGTTTGATATCGGGTGGTCTACGGCTGAAGCTCTCTTGATTGAAATGCAGCTCTTCGTCGAAACAGAGTCTTTTGCGATGTATCTTTGATCTCGATCGCTCAAGACTCTCGGACGTCCGGGAGGCTTTTCGAACCGTTCTAATTGAGATTAGTGAGGTAGCAGTCGTCCACGTTTCAGGCACTAGGATCACCCAAAATCAAAATGATTCCGTGACCGCCGACTTCATCCGCCGCGATCCATGCGTGATCCGCCGCGATCCATGCGTGATCCGTCACCATCCACGCAAGATCCAATGCGGCGAAAATCAGGATTGAAAAATGGGGGAAGGGACCGCTCCATTCCGGTCAAGCTTCCAGCAAACGGTCACGTCGCAGATCGGCGCGGTATGAATTTGAGCGCAGCGAGCACTCGAGCACGGAGCGGCATGAAAGCGCGGAATAGGAATGGAGCGTGGCGGTGCACCCCCTTTGGCCGCAGCCGTTTGGCCGCGGCTGTTTGGCCGCAGGTCCGTTTTGCCGCGAGCCGTTTGGCCGCAGGTCCGTTTGGCCGCGAGCCGATTCGCCGCGAGCCGTTTGGCCGCAGACCCGTTTGGCCGCGAGCCGATTGGTCGCGGATCTCTCAAGTCACGAAATTTTCTGCCAATTCCCGTGAGGCATTTTCGAGTGCAAGCTTGACAGCTGTCTCACATGAAGAAAGGCACTTTCTTCACAAATGTAGTAACTGACATTGGGCCGAAATTCGACCCGTCATCTCCGCATCTAATTTATTCTATGAGCCTTCGGAATGACCATCTTATCCAAGACTGTGAGGGTCAACCTTTGGGTTACGAGTTACGAGGGTGATTTATACACATATACACATATTTGAGATTCGGAAACAGGATTCTCCTTTCTGATTATTCCGGAGGAGGAGTCTCAGGAGCAGCTTGCGACACGCCGTTCGACGCCTCCACCCTGAAGTTCCGAGCAAGCCCGCGCAAGTAAGTCGTCGGCCTCTGACCGAATTCTCTGACAATCTTGAGGATTCTGTCGTCGGCAGCGACGTATTTGCTGCGTTTGGCTTCTGGCTCGTGGCCCGCGACAAACCTAGCATAGGTGACATCTCGGCTCTGTTGGACCTTCCGTATTCCATCGATGAACTTCCAGAGGCTCGGATGGTCAACTACAAACTCGCCCTGTAAGCGCTGGTGCGCGGCTTCAGCGTAGTTATTGGTCCGAGCTTCGCCGTCGAGTGTACGTTGGTACACGGACCACATGGAGATCGGAGAGCGAGCCGGAGCGCGAACTACTTCTCGACCAACAGCCAATCGCCAACGCCCAACGTAGTTGCCTTCGAAGTAATTTAGCACCGGCATCAGTTCTTCGGGCAACTCAGGCGCCAGTTCGCTGATAGCGTCATCGATATGCGGCGGCGGGATGAATGCAAGGGCCGGAATCATTCGGGCGAGCAAGGCGAATTCAGCGTCCTGCTTGTAACGCCGGAGCAGCCCGAGGTCCGAGAGTTTCGCCTTCATGTTCTTGACCAGATGAAACAGGCAACCGTCCATCTCAGCATCCGGGAAAACCGTTCTGAATGCGCACGAGACCCAGCTCGAAGTCAAGCGAAACTTGGCTCGGACTGAAGTGAGGCCACTGCTCTTTGAGGAGCTGGATCATGCGTGTGCACGTCGCCTGACTTTTATTGGGCAAGAGTGCATAGCACACTGGAACTACAAAGCCAGAGCCCTCTGCCAGGACTGCGAAGACCTGTTGGAAAAGCTTCGGGGCAAGGCTGAAAGTTCCGTCTACGTAAATTTTCTCAACCAGTCCGATATAAGTGGCAGCTAATTCGCGTCCGAAGATAAGAATTCTTCCGTCGTCGCCTATACCAGAATCCCCAAGCAGGAAACGTTCCGATGAGTTCGGGGTCGGCTCGTAGACTGCGTACTCGTCTGGAACAACTATAAGGCTGCGATGGGCGGGCAATGCCGGCGCGCTGGAGCAGGCCTTACGGACCCGGTTCACCACTTTCGCGGGGACCCGATTGGAGGGGAATTCCATTTGCACTGCTTGCGACGCTCCACTCTGAATATGGTTGATTACTTGCGACGGTGACTCCTGAGTTTCTTCAGCACGGCGTTTCAAGGCCGTCCGCCTGCTCGCAATCTCCACGCTGGCCGCATCTGAAGGATCACTGTGAGTACCGGACACATCGACGACTTCACCCGTGGCGATGAGTCTATGCAGGCGGACCTTGCAACTCTTTCTGAACTGACAACGCCAGAACTGCAATGTTTGATCAGAACTCGATCTATCGAACACATACATATGGCCATCATGACACAATTTATCCCGGCCGCGATTAGATTTGACCAAGCTTGGTAGGGAATACATATCCGAAGCGATGATCCTTCCGGACCACAAGACCTGCTCGAATCGATCGCGAATCGCCTTAGAGGGGTCCCCTGTTACCGCCGCTTTCGCATGCACATTTACTTCAAGAGATCCGTGACGCTCCACACTTGAAGCACATTCAGACCTTGGGGACCGCAACGATCAGCCTATAGCACATCGAACAGCGCGGGGCCTGAGAATCACATAGTTTCACGGAGATCGGAGTCGTTTTTCCTCCAATGACTACTCCCTACCTCCTAACAAAAAGTGAATATCTATCGTCACCGCCGCTGTCATATCCCAAGAGTCTAGCGTATTACGCTCCGCAGTACCCCAGAGGGTTCTGTACATCAATATATGTACAGGGAATCAGCAGAAAATTTCGTGACCTGAGAGATTCGCGGCCTGACGGCTCGCAGCCAAACGATCTGCGGCCTGACGGCTCGCGGCGAATCGGCTCGCGGCCAAACAGATCCGCGGCCAAACGGACCTGCGGCCAAACGGACCTGCGGCCAAACGGGCCTGCGACCAAACAGCCGCGGCCAAACGGCTGCGCCCGAATGGGGCGCTCCGGGAGCGTGGCACTGATCTGAACGCGGCGCTCATCTGTGCGCGAGATCAATGTGAGCGCAGTCTTAATCTTAGCGCGAGTAGAATTTGAGCGCGAAGTAGGATGAGAGCGTGGAGTACAATAAGAGCGCAGGATAGAAAAAACGCGCGGAATAGATATCGAGCGCGGAATAGAAATAGAGCGCGAGTAGAGAATAGAGTTGAAGCGCGATTGAATCGGTTATTCCAGAGACAAGGGGAGAGACAGTGACCAGGGGATCAAGTGAAGCGGGCTCCTCTTCCTTGACGTGAAAAGCCGAGCACTCCCCGCTTCGACTAAATTCTCTACTCGTACCTCTCCATCCAACAGCATTGTGGCTCTTCTGTTCCTCGAGTCTCATTAGATCCGCGCGGCATTCACGTCCAAGCCTCGAGTTCTCGCAATAATTTATTTTTGAGGACAGCCAAGATACTCTGATTATTCACGCGGAACTCTGACTTATTTGGCTTCAAGTGCCGGATCAATCTGCGGGACCATGGAGACAGTCGACACCGAGTGTCGACACCGTTCGATTTCCTCAGGCGAATTCCGAGTATCTCTTCCAAAGATCATTATCGCTTCGAATCTACCGCCACAAGCACCCATGAGAATTGATCCTGCATTCATATTCTTCGTCAACGATCGAAGACAACGAAGCTGTGCACTCATCATAATAAGGCTCATCATAAGGATCATGATAAGGCTACCTTGCTCTATCATAAGTAGCGTCCCAGTCTGCTATTGGATGTACCTCGCATGTGGAGTGCAAACCCAATCTCGTGCCACCCGAAGGGTATCATGCTAGAGCCGTAAAATCGGGTTGCAAGTTGCAACCCCGGTGACTCACGTATTATTCTACTGTGACGGGTACATGGCCCCGTGGGGATCTGGCACCTGCCCCTTAGAATTCCATTGCTGACAACTAGTCTTGGATCTTGCCTGAACTATAACCATAGTGATGCCTCTGAGTTTCGTAAAATCCATTCGCGGGAAGCCCCTTCTGTGTGATGGAGGGTATGTTTATCGCAAAGATCGTACTATCAGTGAGAGAACTCACCGGCATTGCACGGTCAAGACCGAAAACGACTCGATCGTCGAAAGTGTTTCAGACCTAAGCTCCGACCGGAGAATCCTCACTTCGCTCCTAAACGAAGGATCGCTTCTATTCTAGGCCAAATCCGAGCACAGCCATATGCCCGACCCTGAGAACATCCATGTTCGCCGGAACTTGAATCAATTGCACGAAAATGCTCAGCGAGAATCGTGGTAGAGACCCATGGCCCTGATCTCGGAAAACTTGAAAGCCATCACTTCGAAGGCGGTCATGGACGGAATGCCGAGCACTGAGCTTCTGCGACAAAGAGTCTACCGATCACGGTCTCACGGTGGTCAGACGAATGTTATGCAATCCCGTGCGTGGAGAGGATATACGGTTACCGGAGAGACTCAGGTGAAGGGTTGTGAATACTTTACTTCGATTCTCAGATGGCAGTTTATTCCGCGTGTCCGCCGAGTGGGTAGCGCGTGCGACGCATGCCGTGGCGCTCCATGGTGGGGCCACCATAGTGTTGGAGGTCCTGGGTTCGATTCCAGCGGCCAGCCGATATTTCTTGTTGGAAAATTATTCCTCGATGCATTTGTGAAGTCCGGTCAGACACCAGGCTCCAAAAGGAACTGGGAACGCCATTGCCCCGTACCTCCGTCTCTTCGGGATCCCACCTAGGAACTCATTACAAATACTCTCTCCTTATGGGTGACAGAAAAAGGGGAGAATTTTCTATTCTACGAACCAGGCGAGACTGACGTTGTCCGGATTCTTGCCTTTGCGACACCTGAGAACTTGAACCTCCTCAAGAAATACGATGAGTTCGTTCGTCGACGGTACATTATATGTGTGCCCGAAGCTCTTCGATCAGCCGTATACACTTGACGTAAGACTGCCCAAAAAGAAGTCGGTACCAGTCATGTATTGTCTGCTGCCCTCGAATACTTCGACGACCTGCCTTCGACTTCTGGGTGTGGTCGCGAGCGCAGTGGGCGGCTCCCTTCCGCGGCGAGTCCATGTCGACTTCGAGATCGGCATGATAAAAGATTTGGAAAGAGCTTTCCCTGGAGCGGAAATATCGGGCTGCTTGTTCCATTTCCATTAATGCTTATTGCGAAAGATCCAAAGGGACGCCGATCTTCGACGGAGATACACAGCAGATTTGGACTTCGCCTTGAACGTTCGTATGTTTCCGGCTCTATCCTTCGTACCGATGAGCGACGTTTTGGCCGTCTTCAACACCCTCCTGCAGTCGAAATTCGTCAAGGAAAACAATTACATCCTGACTGCTTCTATAAATTACCTCGAGAGCACTTGGGCTGGACGCGAACGCAACGCACCTCTCATGAAACCCTCGAACAAACAGTTAGCTTTTTCGATCGGGCGACGAGGTTTTACCCACCCCGTTCAGGAATACACAGAGATGCAATCTCCCGAGAGGGGGATACCACGGTGAATTCATTTGAAATCTTAGATCTATACCTAGGCAGGAGTCTAAGCTCCTCCTTTATTGTCCTGATCCGTACATACATAGGATAAGGCTACCTTGCTCTATCATAAGAAGCGTCCCAGTCTGCTATTGGATGTACCTAGCATGTGGGGTGCAAACCCAGTCTCGTGCCACCCGAGGGGTATCATGCTAGAGCCGTAAAATCGGGTTACAAGTTGCAACCCCGGTGACTCACGTATTATTCTACTGTCACGGGTACATGGCCCCGTGGGGTTGGCATGAGTCATAGTCCTAGTACGGGACGGGGATTAGTGGTTTTCAGTTTCCATCTAAACCTCAACACGAAGCATTGAATTCGTTGAATTAGTCGTCGAAATTCACTCCTCTGCTTCTATATTTTCCAGGGTTTCCCCAGACCGCAAGCCGCTTCGGAGGTATCTCCACGGCACTTCTACGCATCCCAGCGAACACAAGCTTGAACATGCGAAAATTGAGCCAATCACACGCGCTTCTTTCGCCACATATACGAGGCGTTCGGAGAATTCTTTCGCGGTGTCTTCTTCGTCGGGGAGCCACGTATTCGCGATTCGGGCTCTAGCCCCGATTACGGCAAATACGCCCACGAATATCAGACTTCCCTTCTGGGAGACAAGACTCTTGGGTGTCCTCCCTCTTTGCCCGCAAGTTTTCTGCGCTCGGTCGATTCCTCGGCGGAGACATATCCAGTGATAACAAAAAACATGCTTGCTCGCATGTTGACGTGGGACTGCGTCCCAGGTCGTACTTGACGTAGGACTGCGTCCTAGGTAGCACTTACCGAAGGACTTCGTCCTAGGTCGCACTTGACGTAGGACTGCGGCCTAGGTCGCACATATATAGGGGCACTGCACGGAGTAGACAAATGCAACGGAAGTAGTGTGACGGATATCGAAACTACTAAGAGCCGCCCACCAATCAGGAACTCCCGTTTAGAACAGCATCACAGACCGTCAGTTAGGTCGGTGCAGACGAACATCGGAGAGAGTGTCTGTATGAGTCTCCGCCGTTTCAGCGGCGGGGAGAAGCGCGAAATAGCTAGTGCTGGAGGTGGTGAGCTTCGCTAGAGCTGGAGAAACTGATCATGAATTGATGATTTTCGAAGAAGGCATCCGAATCGAGGACGACTGTCGTAGTCCTCGAGCGTGACTCGGGAACGGTTAGGAGAATCGCGGACGGCGGGGAAAACTCGAGCCTCGGGAATCGGACCGAGAGTCCGTTCGGGACTGGCGAGAGACCATTGTTACGAAGATGATTTCTCTTGCACGTCAGCGCTTGAGACGAGGGCCCCGAAAAGGAAGATGGCGGGCTCAGGAAGTTTCGATTTCCCTAGCCAACTTGTGCGAGGGTGAAATTCGAGAGAACCGATGTTCTATGACAGACAGACGAGTGCTCCAGAGATGGATATTCTCCCGAATTGGTTCACGGCCAATTCGGCGGGGAGTGTCACGAACCGGGTTCGGTGAAGTTTAGATATTTACTTATTTACGCGCGTAAAGACCTATTTGATATGTATGTATAATACCCTATCTGTCGTGAAGCGTAAGATCCCCGAGGCCCGAGAGGGAGAGGGGTCACGGGAAAGGGAGGCTGATGCGCGGTTGTCTCCAATCGCGCATCCAGTCAGGGTTTAGTGAGTCAGTGACAGCTTCAGAGACGATTCACGGTCGTCTCTGAACAAGCTCTGAATTACTCGAATAAAATGTCCCCGTGTCCGCACCCAATGAAACATAAGTTTAGGTTGTTTTCCATCTGAATCAGTGGCGGGCGGTAACATTCGAGGAGGACATAGCCCCCCTCTGCCCTCATTCAGAGTTGAGCGAACCCCACCATTCCACTTTTGCGGAGCGGACTTCGCGCGACCCTTCTACTGCCGGTCGGATCTCGGCCAGGAAGAGAAATCGTATATCATGTTGTTCACATGCGCAGTCCCGCGAGCATGCCACCTCGAACTGACCAAAAATTTGTCCACGTACGAGGTGCTCAGAGCACTACAAAAGTTCCTGGCCAGAAGACCGACGGCCCAACACTTCGTCTCGGACAATGGAGCCTCGTTCAGACGGACGGATAAAGAGATCAGACTTGTGTATAAACACATTGCCGATGGGGACTTAGCAGGCTGGCCGAGGAATTCTCGCGTTACCTGGACCTTCAAAACACCGGCAGCTCCCTGGGTTGGCGGCTTCTGGGAGAGGATGGTCGGAGCGACTAAGCGATGTCTCCACAGAGTCATCGGCAAATCTAAGTCATATTTTAGGGACTTGGAGGTGATCTTATGTGGAGTTGAATCGATGATCAATCAGAGACCTCTAACTCCAAAGTCTACGAATCCAAGCGATATCAAGGCGCTATCCCTACTCTTCGGATATGAAGGAACCACATTTTTCCCGGAAATGTCGGACAGATCAAAGAACAAAGCGGATATCGGAGCGGTGGTTTTCTCGAAGCGGTGGAACTTCCAACAAAGTGTCCTGACCGATTTCTGGAGGAGATTCCAAACGGAATACCTGGCATTCCTTCGTTCAGCGCATAGCAGAAAACCGGTGAATCGAAGATCGCTACAGACGGGCGAGATCTGCATCCTCAAAGAGGAAAAGACGTCCCGCGATTACTGGCCGCTAGTTCGAATTCTGGAGATGCGCGGAGGGAAGGAACCAGACTCCAGGAAACGCTCATGCACCATTCTCACCGGTCGTGGTCTAACTCTGGTCAGACAAATCCAGCTGTTGTATCCACCGGATATAGAGAATCCCGACCCGCTTTATTAAGGATTTCTCCATACCCATGTACATATATCTACCCACCATAGATATAACAATGCTAGGTGATGTCGGTCCTTAAACTTACAGATCGGAACTCGGCTGGAGCCATCATTGTCGTCGTCACCATAGTTGTCGTCGTCGCTCCAACTCAGAGACGAGTCGCTGGCTTCCGCGATCTTTACTTCGACCTCATCGTCGGATTCCCCACACTTGCTGATATCGATTTTGACATCACGGTCAACAGCCCACGACAATTCGCTGAATTGTCGTTTCATGAAATCCTTCAGACCACGGCTCTTACGGCCGCTACGACCATCACGCATATATCGAGGAATCAAAACTCGTGAACATTAACGAGTCCTCACGCGACAATGGCGGGGAGGCGGACCGGAGAAATCGTCGTCTTCAGCGATCGCTCGAGCGGAACTCGAGGGACCGGGCACGGAAACGTCATCTTCTTCCTCGCGATCGTTATCGGCGGTCGTCGGGGGCTCGTCCTCATCCACACTTGCGTCTTCAGCGCTCTCTTCCACGTCTTCAGCTCGATGATGAGCGATCAGCTCAGCAAACGGACCCCACGAGTAAGTAGGAGCATATTCAGGATGTTCTCCAACCATTCGGAGACGACTCGACTCTTCGAAGAAGGGGGAGCGTTCGGAAAACGGCAGCCGTCGCCAGGTCGTCCGCAGCAGACGATAGAGGACCAACCCGCTGAGGTCTCTCAAACACCGTTCTCGCCGCAAACGAAAAGATATATAACACCCGAAAGGCGAGTTATGAAAGGTTTTCCGGGTTGAACGACTTCCAGGAGTTCTCGGACGGGTCGACGGGCCGCGCCGTAGCCCTCGAGCAAGACTCGGGAACGGTAAGGAGAATCGCGGACGGCGGGGAGAACTCGAGCCTCGGGAATCCGACCGAGAGCCCGTTCGGGACTGGCGAGAGACCGTTGTTACGAAGATGATTTCTGTAGCACGTCAGCCCTTGAGACGAAGGCCTCGGAAAGGAAGATGGCGGGCTCAGGAAGTTTCGATTTCCCTAGCCAACTTGCGCGAGGGTGAATTTCGAGAGAACCGATGTTCTATGACAGACAGACGAGTGCTCCAGAGATGGATATTCTCCCGAATTGGTTCACGGCCAATTCGGCGGGGAGTGTCACGAGCCGGGTTCGGTGAAGTTTAGATATTTACATATTTACGCGCGTCTAGACCTATTTGATATGTATGTATAATACCCTATCTGTCGTGAAGCGTAAGATCTCCGGGGCCCGAGAGAGAGAGGGGGGTCACGGGAAAGGGGGGCTGATGCGCGGTTGTCTCCAACCGCGCCTCCAGTCTGAGTTTAGTGAGTCAGTGACAGCTTCAGAGACGATTCTCGGTCGTCTCTGCCAAGCTCTGAATTTTTTCGAATAAAATTCCCCCGTGTCCACACCCAGTGAAACATAAGTTTAGGTTGTTTTCCATCTGAATCAGTGGCGGACGGTAACAAATGGATCGCTCCTACCTTCCTCAAAATGCAAGAGATAAACCTCTGGGTCGGTCGAGTTCTCCATTCGAGATACAACAGGCAAGCTCGAAAAACGAGGCCGCAAATGATAAAATGATGAACATGATTGGCTATCGATGAGGACATTCCTAGATCAAATAACAGGCTGATTTCCGCCCAACATCCCGATTATATCAATAAAATACCTCAGAAGGCCCTCGAAGGCATCATTCCCCCTAGCTGGACAGATCCTGGTGACGGGGTCCTAGATCTAACGCCTGCGGAGCAGCGAATGCTGTGCAGTCCTGAATACGAAAGTTCGTCCGTGATCTAATGAAACTGTGTGTGCCGGAAAGACGGACTTGAGTGACACGGCTCCACATAGTTTTCCAATTTCGGGAACGATGTCTCCTTCTCGCAGGGAGCTCTCCTCTCTGCATGCGATCACGCGGGATGTTGCGGCAATTCTTGATCTTGATCGATCTATGAACCGGACGTGGGAGGGACAGGTGAACTGCCGGGAGCAGCGCCTGGAAGATTACAGCGAAGCGTACGATTTCCGGTCAGAATCATACAGTGCAGGTGGGATAAGGCGCCGAAAGTCTCACCACGTCTGGCCCTGAACTTAATTTTCTCGATAGACTCGCTCGGCGAAATCCTCCCCGCGTCAAGCTCAGCCCACGAAAAGCGAAGCTCCTGCGCGTGGACTCGAGTAGGGCGATTCGGCGCTGTTCGAATATCTTAGATGCCCCGCTCGCTAATGCTTAGATCAATCGGCACATCTTGAGTCATTCCGCACAAAACGTCTGGAAATGAGAGCTGCTGTCTTACCTTCACTTCAGCCCGATAAGAAGAGTCCCCCAAAAGACCAGGGGCATGCCCAGAATCCCTGGTCGGATTGGGAGGGGGGCAAAACCCACTTTCGCCTATGGAGACGGGGCCAACAGATGACGCGCCTCCCTCTGTCCTATTCTTCAACAGAACGACGGGAGGCTATGAGAGGGGGCCATGGTCCTTCTACCCCTCCCCCCCCCCAGAGCAGAGAGACTGCCAAGTGAAGCATACGCACGCATCAGATCCCATACTCGAGGGTTGGCTCAAAGTTCCTTCTTGAGCGAAGCCTTATTGCTTATTACTTTGCACATGACGTTCATACTAACGCATTGTTAGTGTGAACAGGAGCTCTATAAAGCGAGAGAGGAGCCGCCCCGATTTGTTGGAGCCACTGATTGCGAACGTAATCCACGAAACTTTGGAGCTGGGGAATTAATTTCAGCACTGGATTATTGCCGGAGAATTCGATAAGATATCGTCCAGGAGTACGCGGCGGGCTCACGCACTCGGGGGTCGATGGCGACAGCTTCGCGGTCGTAATGTTCGAACGTAGAATGTAAGTGAAGGTGAGGAAACATGCGCGAAACATGGTCCAAGGCGCTTGATTTCACGAGCGAGGCCGACCGCCGGAGAGGAGCCCCGCTCCGCTAGGCTCTGAGCATAGTGGAATCAGCATCCGTAGATGCGCGCGGCGGGGAACTCTGAATGCACTGCGGCTCGCATGGCTCCGTGAAAATCGCCCATGAACGTTGGCAACGTAAATCCCAGGAACTCTCGCTTCTGTGCTCGATATGCCCCCGCGTATGCCTGCGTGGTGGCTGCCTTCTTGAAAGCGAATGCTACCATGCCCACCTAGGAGGAGGAGCCGCGGGTACTCGTTTCCATTCTGATGAAGAACACTTATCAGGGAAAGAATGGAGTCCAGATTTAGATACTTACGAAGCCATCCCCCCAACTACCATGAATGGTGAACAGCTGGTGGCATAGGCCCCGCGGAACAACCTTGCGCTCAAATTGGATCTGCACTCAAATTGGTCTTGCGCGCAAATCGGATCTGCGCGAATTGGCCGTCACCGTCAAGATGGAATTTGCCGAGTGGCAGTATTCCGAAGTGAGTATGTGTGCTCGTTAGAGCATCTGTCCCGTTTCTTCGAACAGATGGACCAATGGCGGTGGCGGTCTGTGATGCTCTTCTTAACAGGAGTTCCTGATTGGTGGGCGGCTCTCAGTGGTTTCGATATCCGTTACACTATTTCCGTTGCATTTGTTTGCTTTGTGCAGTGCCCCCATATCTGTGCGACCTAGGACAAGTGCGACCTGGGTTGCAGTCCTACGTCAATATGCGAGCAAGCATGTTCTGTGTTACTACTGGATATGTCTCCGCCGAGGAATCGACCGCGCTCAGAAAACAATGCTTCGTATTGAGGTTTAGATAGAAACTGAAAACTACTAGTCCTCGTCCCGTACTAGGACTGTGACTCATGCCAACCCCACGGGGCCATGTGATCGTGACAGTAGAATAACACGTGAGTCACCAGGGTTGCAACCCGATTTCACGGCTCTAGCATGATACCCTTCGGGTGGCACGAGATTGGGTTTGCACCCCACATGCTAGGTACATCCAATAGCAGACTGGGACACTACTTATGATAGAGCAAGGTAGCCTTATACTACGTATATGTATGTACGGATCAGGACAATGAAGGAGGAGCTTAGACTCCTGGCTAGGTATGAAAGACCTAAGATTTCAAATAAACTCACCGTGGTATCTCCCTCTCGATAGATTGCATCTCTGTGTAAACCTGAACGGGGTGCGTGAAACCTTGTCGCGCGATCGAAAAGGCTAATTGTTTGCTCGAGGGGGTGTCTTAATGTTTCCAACCACAAAAGGTACCACCAGTCCATGGCCATGCACCCGATCTACTGGATGTATCCGTTCGAGCAAGGCTAAATGAGCTCACAAGGGAACATTACGAACTGCCCCACGCCGATTTTTCTGAAACTTTGCCCAAACAATAGTCCCACCGAGAGATGAAGAACCCCCACCATGCGAGCTGCCAACGCTCGATAGGGAGAGAATAAATCCGAGGTGTATTTCTAGGGTTTTTCACCGTATAAGGGTGTTTTTTCGAAGACGAGATTCAAGAATGATGCCTGATATATCGGAGAACAGAAATTCTCGTGTTTGAAAAGCGCGCCACAGAGCGACAGTCCGAGTAGATTCTCGGGAGAACTTCGTTTTCTTCACACAAAACGTCTGCGCTCGCGGAATCGTACCGGTTTCCGCGCGAGTCGCATAGATCGCAGTTTGAGCTGTTCTGAATTGCTCCAATAATCTCTGCTATGTCAGTGTCCGCGGAATCGTTGTTAATTCTGCTTCGAAGTACACTTGAATGCCTTCAGTCTGAACGAGAGTGCCGGCGACGATGCGGAACCAAGTACCGTCAAGTTGGCTGGGAACATCCTCAGTTCGGTGAAAGGTTTTGAGAATCAAGGCGAAGCCACAGTTGGAGAGATTGACGAACTCCGAGTCGAGCTATGTCGGAGATGAGTATGATCCCGTCTTCGAAGACGTATACGATGCCGTTTCGAACGACCTGTTCTCGTACGACTACATCTGCAAGGTGCTCGACTTCATTGACCAACACGGGAGGTTCTCGTTCGCTTCGATTCAACATACGTTCAGGAGA